ATATATATATATATATATATATATATATATATATATATATATATATACACACATAGGAGCATTATGTGTAGAACCATTAGACTGAGGAACAGCTTCTACCCTGAGGCTGTTAGACTCATGAATATCTAACCAGGATAATCACTGTGAAAAATCACATTATGTTGCTGCTGATCTGTTTCATGTTTCTGTGTTCATGCGTGCTCATCTGCTTACACAGACTCATGTTCATGCTGCTGTTCGGCGTAATGTTTTTAAGCTACCAGTGCTTAGTGTATATTTAGTTGATGTTTTTCTTAGTTCATATCTTAGATCTTATTACTGTTTTTCTTTTACATTGTATTGTTGGATGTAACTGGGTCCCTGTGTACATAATTCTGTTCCACCACATGTACCACATGGGGTGCGAATGCCAAATAAAGAACCTTGAATCATTTAATCCTTGAATATATATACTGTAAATTTATAATAATTTACATAATAATTTATTTATTATAAATATTAAGAACAAATTGTACTCAAGCAATAAACGCCTCTAAGAGTTTAACCTTTTCAACATAATCAATCTTTTCACATTGTTGACATTAAATAAGGGCAGCACAGTGGCGCAACTGGTAGAGCTGCTGCCTCTCAGCGAGCAAGTCCTTGGTTCAAACCCCAGTCCAGGGGCCTTTCTGGGTGGAGTTTGCATGTTCTCTCTGTGAATGCGTGGGTTTTCTCTGGGTACTCCGGTTTCCTCCCACAGACCTAAAAACATACATGTTAGGCTGATTGGTGACTCTAAATTGTCACTAGGTGTGAGTGAGAGAGTGAATGGTTGTTTGTCTCGTTTGTCTCTATGTGGCCCTGTGATGGACTGGAGACCCGTCCAGGGTGTACCCCGCCCCTCGCACAGTGATTGCTGGACATGGGCACCGGCGACCCCCGTGACCCAAAATGGAATAAGCGGGTAAAGATAATGGATGGATGGATGGATGGGTCAGCTTCTCGCTCAGCTCTCCAACAATCTGATTTAAAGAGGATGAGTTTCAAAAGAGATCAGTTTCTCCTATTTGAACTTACAAACAAAATCAAATATAATTCTGAACTTCATTTTTTTAATTTTACTTTTCAGTCTGATTGTGAGTGAAATCTGACTATTTTTCTTGCCAAGTTAGACGTTACATATTTTCTGATAAGCTCATTGTTTGGATGTGAAGACAAAAACAAACTAAACCAACAAATTTACCTGAAGGGATAACTAAAATCAATGTCGATGCTGACATTGTTCTGCCTCCTAGCTGTGCAGTCCACTTTAACCTGGAGTTGGCCATAGTATCCTCCACAGGTCACAAACGCACAAATGGCCAAAATCTATAACAAACAAGATGTAAAAAGTGACATCAGTGGTATCATTTATTCTCTCTTTAAAAAATATTCTCCAAATCCATGAGTGAGGGCAGCATGTTGCATATTAAATGCACATTAATTAATGAATGACAGATCAAAACAGTTGAAAATCGATTTGAAAAACAAAGGCTGAATAATTTAAAGGTAGGAAGATCATTAACAGAGCCGCTGGCTGTGCACTGGAGGGAGGCCACAGCAGTAGAGTCAGACACAACTGTCACTTTTTTATTCCCAACACTTACACTTGCATCGCAAACACAAACTGAGTGTTAACTTTCTGTAAGTCGTTAACTTTCAATCATGAATAAAGGTTGAAACCTTTTGAAAAGATCAAGAATCTCATAAACTCCTGATTATTCAGACCATATTATTTGTGCTTTAAGCTTAATAAAACAAAATTTATTCTAAAAAAAAAAGACAAACGTTAGTAAAAAGGGAACTTACCGGAGCAAAAATAACCATACACATTTAAAGAACAAAGAGCCCAACTCCTCACAGCGCCGGCAGCTGTTCTCATCAGGAGGAGCTGTAACTGATGCAGACAGGAAAAACCAGAGCAGCTCTTCCAGCACAAGGGGGCTGGGGTGGGTGGGGGTCTAACTGGGGATGTCATCCTCGAGATGGGGTCTGAGATCTACTACTCCACATTCAGTCACATAACATGTACATTAAGAAACCAGATCACTGTGGTTAGCTTCAAAATATGCATTTTACTGAAAAATGTATTGATTTTATTTTGCTTCTGATCCAATAATAAAAATATCACAATAATAATAATCTGTTCTGAGAGTGGGGCTACAAACATGCAACAAATGTAAGATGTGGGGCATCGTATTAATTATTTGTGTTGTGTCTGAACTAAATCTGGAGGCTGCAAAGAACAGATGTGCACACACAAATCAGTTAAAATGTAGTGCCATTATGAATTAATTTTGTGCATCTGATTATGGATGGTGTAAGGAAGGTAGTTTTGTCATTATTTTAAACTTGTTTTCTGTAAACTCCAATAAAGGTAACCCTACTAAGCATTTTTACAGTTTTCAAACAAACAACCTTATAACCTATTATTATATTTAAACATGTTTTGTGTGACTATAAATGTTAAAGCATTATACCAATTTGATAAAATAAATCTAAATACATTTTAAATATGAAACATTTGATCTTTGTTAACGTGTGATAACTTCTTCCTCAGTAAACGTTAATAAAATCTGTCTAATAAATGATGTAAAGGAGTCTGTTGCTGGCCTCTCTTGGTGAAGAGACTGTATTACAGATTCATGTTTAGGCAGTACTTCTGAACTTTGTTGACATTACAGTTACTGTGGCAGAATAAAGTGTTCGCATCAGCAAAACATTTGCTTATGTTCAATGATCTAAACCATTTTTACTTGAATCCATCCATCCATCCATCCATCTCTCTCTCTCTCTCTCTCTCTCTCTCTCTCTCTCTCTCTCTCTCTCTCTCTCTCTCTCT